CCCTCAACCCCCCCTCTTCTCCGATTTTCCATTTTCATTTCCCCCCTCCTCTCCTGCCTCGACCTCGCTGCCCCAAACACAATCTCAGTTGTTTTTAAACTGAAAACAATCTCAGAATAAAACTATCAAACGCATTTTCAGAAATGATTCCAAAATGAAAATGAAAACGTTTTTGTTTTCATTTTCATACAAAAAATAAAAACGTTTTGAAACGAATTCTAAATGCACCTAATTTTATTTTTGGAGCTCTTGATTATTAATAATGACTTTTTTTTTTTTTATGGAATTGTCTCCGAGCTTTATGACTGATTTGGACCCTAATACTAAAATTTATGATGGATTTTTAGTATTTCGCGGATGCTTTCATGTGCTCAATGCTTGAAAGGTTAAAATTTTATTAAAAGGTATAGTTTACAAATTTTTAATAGCATTGAAGCTTCCCTAAAAGCAGAGCATTGAAAGCTAAAAATGTGCACCTTATGCGATTGTTTTGTGAAATTTCTAGTATCTGTGGGACATGTTAAAAGGACAAAACTACTGTGATGTTTTTTTAACTAGTACTTTCGTTAATGTTTTGAGTTTATTAAATTGTAAGACTATTTATGATACGAAAAATTAGATACGTTATTTAAATCCATGATGTTAATAGTTTGTGAATTACAATCACCAAAAAGCAAAAACCTTAAAAACGAGGACTTTTATATATATATATATATATATAAAGAAAAAATATTTGCTCCTTGCTTCATAGCACTGGTACTATAAAGTGTGAATACCATTAAAAAAAAGTTAGAAAAGTTGATTGTCAAAAATACTTTTGTATTGTAGTTGCAGGCATACGCTAGCATTAAGAGTATGTTTGGTAGGAAAAAAAAGTAGAAGGAAGGAAGAAAAAAAAGTAGAAGGAAGGAAGACGGTGAAAGGATTTTAGGAGAAAAAATGAAAATGTAAGTTGTTTGGTAGGAGAGAAAAGAGAGAGGAAGAGAAAATGGAGTGAAAAATAATACATGTGGGTCCCACTTATTTTTTTTCTTTCCACAAGTGGCAGAAAATGGGATGAAAAATGGGGACAACTCATTAAAGTGAGCAAAGTTACTAAACTACCCTTTTCTCCATCAACATCCAAGCAAAAAAATTAAGGGTATAAAAGTAATTTACGAGTAAGATTTTTTCTTTCCTCCCAATTTAACTTTCAATACCAAACAAATGAAGGTAAGCTCATTTTCTTTCCATCTTCTCATACCAAACAATATAAAAAAAATCAATTTCTTTTCCATCATTGCTATTTTTCATCACTTTCATATTTCTTTTCTATTCTATTTTCTTTTCTTCCTACCAAACATAGCATAATTCCATGCATAATTTTATCATAAGATGTAGAGTTCGAAAATACTCTGGATTAGTTCCCAAACTTGATCATGTGTTAAAATGGTATGTTTTTATGATTTATGTTAAAATACAGCTTATATTTATGATAGTGGTTCAAAATGCAATATGTATTTACAATTTTTGCAATTTTGGAGAAAAAGGTCAAAGAGTTCTTGTAAAACATGCTTTTAATTACAACATGTTTTCTCATACTAATAAGTTCTCTCAGACCCTGTAGAAACACCAAGGATTCTCCCATGTTCATATATTTAATTTTATCGATTCGAGTTTAAAATTTAAGTTTTGTTACAGTAAAAAGCTCTCATAAATAGTCACATCTAACTTTTTTTATTACAATAAAAAGCTCTCACATAAAATTACATCTCAATTTAAATTAAAAACTCGAATCAGTAAATTAAATAGATCCTAAATTTTAGATGGGATAACTCTTATTTATTTATTTATTTATTTATTTATTTTAAACACAGTTCACAATGAGAGCTAATTTCTCCGGTTTGAAAAGTCAGGAATTATATTGCCAACCTCTATTATTTATGCTTTTAATTAACTCCAATAAAATCGAATGAAACGGTACTTACTATTTTTTATTGGTTAGTGCAGAATGCAACTAGCTGGCCTTACTAATGGTTAGTGAACTTTATGCCACAAAAGACAAAAAGATAGATAAAAGGTCTTCACGTGGAATTTGTATTGCCATTGAATTAAGACCCATGCTAGAAGATAAGGCTATTTTATATATATATAAAGCTGTATTGCGGCTGATGAAATGGTTTATAGCAGTTTTCGAATTTGATGCCGTAGCGCCAAGCCGCCACTTTCTACGCCGACTACAATAACTTTTGCTACTTAGGTAATATCACGAATCACGATCCCGGTAAGTTTAGAGTCTAATGTGTACGGACACGAATGTCAGCTCAAAAAACTCATTCCGTGTGAGTTTATTTTTTCACCTAAGATCTTCCAGCTATTTGGCCTAAGATTAATGAGCATAATGAGACTTAATGGTGATCAATAGAGGAAAACTGAAATAAGCCATGGTTAATAACCTAAATGACATCAGTTTTTCTTCATAAAAGTCTGAACCTTACTGTTCAAGGTGGCCGGATTCATCTTCAGGGAAATGAATGATTTTTGGCATGTAATAATGTGATATTAAGCACCATAATTGCTTGTTTTGAAACCTCTTTCTCAAGAGCCTATATAAGGGGTTCTCCACATAAAGGAAGAACACACTCATTCAAAACACACTCATTCGAAATCTCTTCTCCTCTCTCTCGGCTCTCTCTTTTCCAAGTTCTTTGTGCATCTTCTTTTGTAGTTCAGTTTTGGTGATAGAGGGAATGTCCGAGTTCTAGTTTGCCGGACGGTTCCGATAGTGCTTCGAGCTACCGTTGTTGTCATTGTATCTGGGAGACGGACGTCCAACGTTGCCTCAAGCACTCGCCGGAGGGGACGAATATGTTTTACGGAAAGCGTGGTTCACGTGCCTCGACATCCTTACAATTTCGGTTTTCAAGTTTTGGTACAATGGTTGAATTCGTGTTGTAACTATTTCATTATTTCGTTCATCCATAAGTTGTTGTTCTTCTTTGTATTTTCCATATTTTGCTAACAATCTTAAAGCAAATTCGGATTTATACAAACGAGGACTTTGCAAGGAAAAGGAGAAAAAAAAACGGTTTTTATTGTTGGAAATTTTTGTCAATCTCCTTACTAATTGTTTTTGAAGAAATGGCTGATAACATGAACGTGGTTGTTCCTGCTTGAAGCAACACTATGACGCCTGAGCCGTCACATGTTGGGACAAACGTCTGTCTCGGTCCCGACCCCCGCTTTGATCTCGACACGGCCTTCGCTGGTCTCAGTTCCTATGAACCATAATGAAAAGCCTGATAAATTCAGTGGGCTGAATTTTAAGACATAGCAACAAAAAATGTTATTTTATCTAACAACATTGAATCTTGCAAGATTCTTGAAAGAGGATCCTCCTACTGTTAGAGAGAATGAAGTGGATGCTCAAGCATTCCACGCGGTTGATGCATGGAACCATTATAACTTTCTGTGTCGGAACTATGTACTTAACGGCTTAGCTGATGGGTTTTACAACGTGTATAGCTCAAAGAAAATAGCTAAGGATTTATGGAAATCTTTGGACCAGAAATATAAGTCCGAAGACGCAGGTGCTAAGAAGTTCTTAGTGGGTGAATTCCTGAATTACAAGATGGTGGACTCAAATACTGTTATTAGTCAAGTACAAGAGTTCCAATTGATAATTCACGAGATATATGCTGAGGGAATGACTATTAGTGAATCCTTTTAAGTAGCCGCGCTGGTTGATAAGCTACCTCCCTCCTGGAAGGAGTTCAAGAGCTATCTGATGCACAAGAGGAAAGAGATGATTGTTGAGCAATTGGTTGTCAGGCTTCGCATTGAATAAGACAATAGGCGGATTGAGAAGAAGTTCTCCAATGCAACCACAAGCTCTGCTAAGGCTAATGTGGTAGAGCATGATAGCTCCAAAAAGAAAGGAAAGCCCGGATCCAAGTTGGGACCAAAGGGAGGAATTTTCAAAAAGAAATTCCAAGGGAAGTGCTTCAATTGCAACAAGGTTGGGCACAAGTTGGCGGATTGCAAGCTGCCAAAACGAAACAAGGATAAGGAAGCCAATGCTGTGGACGCTATTTCTAAAGAAATGTTTGACATCAGCTTGTCTGTTGTGGTCTCCGAAGTGAACTTGGTCGACTCCAATCTAATGGAGTGGTGGCTCAAGACTGGGGCTACAAGACACATTTGCTGTGACCGGGCTGAGTTTGATGTTCTAGTTAGTTTTGTTGGAAACTGGAGAGAAGCTTTTCATGGGCAATTTTGCAACTTATGTGATCAAGGGCCAAGAAACGGTGTTCTTGAAGATGACCTTGGGCAAGGAAGTGAAGCTCCACAACATGCTTTATGTTCCCGACATCCGGAAGAATC